TTAGAACTTTAACATTTTGGTCCTAGTTTATGTTAACATATCTTTAATTTACTCTTTAAATTTAGATTCCTTTCAATTTAGTCCATAGAGCTTTTAATTTAGATGAATAATTTCATAATTGATTAAAATTAATTACTATTAATATTAGAGCCACTATTTTAGGCCTAATTTTGAATTTAGTCCTTAAATTAGTTGAATTCTTAATTTGGTCCTCGCTTTTGTTCGAGGTTCCACTTTAATTATTCGAATTGCATAATTTATTAAAATTAATTAAGATTAATATTAGATCATCCATCTTAGGCCTAATTTCACATTTAGTCCTTAAATTAGGAGAATTTCTAATTGGGTCATCGCTTTTTCTCGAGGTTCCAATTTAATTGTTCGAATCACATAATTGATTAAAATTAATTAGGATTAATATTAGAGCCTCCATCTTAGGTATAATTTCACATTTAGTCCTTGAATTAGGAGAATTCTTAATTTGGTCCCCATTTTTGCTCGAGGTTCCACTTTAATTATTCAAATTGCATAATTGATTAAAAGTTAATAGGGTAATGCTTAGAGCCTCTTTTTTAGGTTTAATTTCAAATTTAGTCCTTTAATTTAGGAGAATTTTTAACTTGGTCCTCGCTTATGCTCGTGGTTCCATTTTAACTATTCAACTCAATAATTCATTAAAAATGATTTAAGTTAATATTAGAGCCTACATTTTTAGGTTTAATCCTTAGGTTCTTTAAATTTCATAATTTAACACTTTAAGTTAGAGGGAATCCTTTTAGTATAATTAGGTTCCATAACCGATTGGTTGACTGCATTTTGATTGTTAAATAAGGTAATGTTCATTTATTAGGGGTTAGTAGTGTATCTCCCACTTTTGCCCCGTAGTGATTGTTATTGATTATCGAAATAAATCAACATCCTTTTTAAAACCCCACATCATGACTTCTAAATTATTAAGGCAATGTCCATTTATAGTGATTGATAACGAAGCTTTCGCTTTTGCTTAGGGGTGGTCGTTATTAGTCTTAGTAAATCGACATAATTTTAAAATATACATACATAGTGGATTTTAAATTAAATAAAATTTGAAACTTAAAATTTCCAATTTTAAAATATAGGGTAATCGACTAGGTACCAATTTTGGGTGCTAATCCTTCCCCACGCGTAATTGACTCCTGAACTCGATTTCTGATTTCACAGATTAAGACTTGATATTTTTGATAAAATAAAATGTTTTATTCAAAATTACATGATTTTAGGTGTTCCAATCGCACCTTAAAAATGATTGGTTGTGACTCCAATCTTTTCATAAAAACCATTTTTTTAAAAAGTCAGATCGATCTTCCCACCGAAAACGGTTACTACAACTTGGCGACTCCACTGGGGGCTTTTGTTGTCTAAAACAAAAAGAGAGTCAAGCCACGAATCGATTTCCCTATATTTTAAGAGTTTTAATTTTTGAGTTCGAGTTTATTTAAATCACGATTCACTATGCTTTTAAAGAAAGCCGAAAAAGATTTTCTTTCTGGTCAATGCTTTTACTTATTTGAGTATAAATATGATTGTTGCATATCATAACTTTACACCTGAGCTTCGTCCCATTTCGCCTAAGTAGTGGGAAATGTCACACCACCAAGGAATATTGTTTTTCCTTGTGTAGGTCTGATAGACTACCTTTGGAAAACATTCTTTATATTTGTTAGGATACTATTTTCCTTAATAGTCATCTATTGATATGATCCCCTGGACTAAATTCGACCCGAAATGCCTATAATGGGCCAGGATCAAAGTCCTTACTTACCTTAGCAGGTTATAAGGACAATTTGGGATCCCTTGTTAGAACCAAGCTTCATATAGAGAATTTAGTAAGCTCACCTCTCTAGAGCCATGTTGATACCCTAAGGGAACTAGAATACATGCAGTTAGGATTTTAATTTCCTCTTTGTGCTTTATTCACTGGTGGTTCATTTACCAATTGAATTTAATCATTTTAGAGTTCACTAACACATATTTCTTTCATTTGATTATCATTTTAGCTTTACTAACCCCTTTTTCTCTTGATTTGAATATTTTCTTGCTTTGTTTGTGTATAAACATGGTATTACTATCTAAGTTATTTATCAAAATGAGAAGGCTTTCAAAATGACAATGCCACAAGAAGGGGTGGATAAAATTAATTTATCTACTTTGACGTATTGAGACATTATGTGTTGTTTGAAAATTGTTCTAGATAATTACCTTAGGATTAAAACATGTTTCATACATGTCATGTCATATAAGGTATTGATTTTTGAGTTAGAAGGCTTTCAATATGACAATGTCACTCGAAGAGGTAGAGTAAAACTGTGAAAGCACACCATTGGTCCAAAAAGATACTCTAGAAAGTAACTGAAAGAGGTACATCAAGCTGGAATACATAATGATCAAACGATGCAATTGATCAAGTTGTTGATACAACTAGCTAAAAAGAAGTAATGTATTTGAAGTCGTTAAACAACAAAGAAAACTAACATGAGACAGTGGATGATGCTAGTCACATATGATTGCTCAACAAGTACATTTTTGGGGAAAAGAAGTCGAAATGTTGGAGTTATGCATCAAGCCATAGATAGAAGAATGATGTTTCCTTACACATTCGATCAAAAAAATTATGAAATCGAGCAATATGACATTATTTGTAGTTTTCATTTGCCTCGGTGTATTAGGACATTATGTGTTCTTTAGAAGTTGTTTTATGACAATTACTTTGGAATCAACACCTTCGTTGCATTTGCATTTTTCATTTTGCATTCGTACATTTGCATCTTACGTTTGCATTTTTTACATTACATTCATATTTTTTCTGTTTCTAATTTTTTACACATTTAAATCACGAAAATATGAGATTAAATTATGGATAATTTCATGAAAAAAATTCTAGAAGCTAATTGAGCCACCTCGATATTCTTAGAGAAGGATATGAGCCATGAATGAGATTTTAGCACTTGTTTGTAAAATTGAGAAACTCTAAGAACAACTTATCAAAAGTTAATAAGAAATGACTGATCAAGCAAGGAAATTTCGAGACGATTCAAGAAAACATATGTCTAAATTTATGCATATGATGATTTTTTGATTCATGGAGAGAAACCACTAGAGGATCATGCTGTAAAGAATGTGAATAAGATTCTGAATGATAGTGGTGGTGTCAAAATGATAGCGATAGATGATCAATACCCTCCTAAAGAGAAATGTAACTTGAGTCAGCTCTAGAAATTATACGTGGCACCAAAATGCATCTCTGAATTGATAATGAATGAAAAAAATAGTGAAATATGAAGGTTTTCTCATGAGAGATAGACCTCACTCAAAGAAGAAGGGCATAGAAGAAGCCAAAATGAAGATCAAGAAAGCTAAGAAAATTCAAACTCTTATGATTCAGTGCTTTAATCCCTCGCGACCATCAAGTTAAATCAATCAAACTCCCTCCCAAGACAACACAAACTAGTCTTCTATTAGAGAGTTAGAGGATAATAAAAGGATATCGTAGAGTGTCCAGTCCCTCTTTTCCACTATTTATATAAAAATTGCATTATGAAATGCTCAAAGTCGGGCCGATTGCACCATGTTATGTCAACCACAGTGGCCTCCTAATGAGAAATGGTCATATAAGGAGGTTCCTTGGATAAACCAGATTGAAACCTCATGATGTTCAACTAAGGTTTCTAGTAACCTTGAAGAAAAATGTAAAGATCCTCTTGAGCAATAAATTCAGAGCTGCAAGGTAGGAATATAAAAGGCTAAAAGTCGGTGCCCAAAAATCTCTTTCCCAAAAAAAAACTAACGCAGTCAAATCCTGTTAAGGTTACATGCGCAAGAGAAGGAGAAGGGAAATCCAAGAAATATGGTTTCAATGGATGTAATTCGAGACTAGCCCATAGGATTGATAATGAATTGGTCAGATACAAGCCTCAAAATATCTCAAACGCCTATATTAGATTTTTCTGATGGTAAGTGGGGCATTAGAAATTTCAAAAGTATGACAAATACTCCACTAATCGCTGCAGCAATAGATGTCAAATCCTAACCAAGATTGTTATCCTCAAAGAAAATCATTTTGGATCCAAATTTGGGCCTAATCTCCAACAAGGAAAAATTTACTTTTTGAAACATCCGAAACATACTTTTCAGTTTGGAAAGGTCAATGTTGAACCACAGTTGGTGGAAGTAACTGAAGAAGAAAAGAAAATGAAGGAACAAGAGTTGCATATCACCATGATGCCTGAAGATGGTGAGGTTGGAAAATTTGCACTGAAATATGATCTGTTTCCCTAAAGAGGAACTGGACAATTGGACTATAGAGGACATTCTTATAGTTTTTAGATAAAATTTACAGTAATACTTGGAATTAACCCTTATGCTTTTGCCCACAAGCATTAAGGAATCTTTTGTGAGGGCTTCTATGTTAATTCTACTTTTTTTTCTACAATTGAAGATGTTTTCTTTCATTTATCAAGTGAAATCATTTTATACATTTTCATATTCTTTATCATTCTTTACATATTTTTTTTTGACATTTTTTATTCTTTCATTCATTCCATACAAATGTCCATTACTCTTTTAAATGTATAGATTTGTTCCAAATTTTCTTTGCAGGTGTCTTAATCATTAATAGCATGAATGTCTCTAAATTGCAATCATGAAATAAATTTTGAGCGACTTGTGTTTAGTAGAAATCTATGAGTGTAAAAATGAGGTAGAATGTGACATTTCTAACAAATTATTAAGGCTGATGGGAAAGTAAGATAAACATATCTTATCTTATAAAGAATAAGTCATGATTCTGAATCTATGATGAATGAATAAAGAAGACAGATAGATATCAACATTACTTTGTCACATGAAATGATACGAGAGTTGATAGAGTTGCTTTAAGATTTCAAAGGCATCTTTTCTGATCTTATCAAAACATGCCAGGATTGAATACAACTTCCTGATAGACTATTAATCCTCTATCTGACAATCTTTGAAAATTTATTGAGTTGTGTGATGGGGCTTGATAACTCCGTAAAATGTCATATTTAGGGCATTTTCACTTAAGTTATTCTGTCTAAGAGCTCATATAAATCATATAGATGCATTTAGAGCATATAGTTGCATGTAATGGAAATATATTTTGTCGTGCCATTTTATTTTGTGAACGGTGCTACGTTATGGGTAAGGTGTTTTGTCCGATGATGTGCAGGATATGGAAGCAAGGATAAGTGAGAAGAATTATTGTGACATGCTGGGAATGCTGAGTAGAATGTAAATGCCAAATTATATGACATTTCGGAAGCTAAAAAGAAGAAAGAAGATATTTTCAAGAACCAGTTGTCACTGTCTTCACGTGCCTTCAGATGCTAGACACCTAGGAGGGATCATCTGCCACCTGGTTTGACCGATCCTTTCGGTACGTATATGCAACTGCAAGCCTTCAGAATGGACCATGCCCAGGAGGGGACCACTGCAGCTCTGCTGCACCCCTCACGTGAAGGAAACTATCTCGGGTATCTTAGGAATTTTAACGTAAATTCCTAGGTTTATTCCCCACTATAAATAGGAGTGGAAGCCACCAGACTTAGAGAATCCTCTTCACGTCATTTTGAGCTTAATTTAAAAAGAAAATGTCATTGATTTTTCTCATGAATTATTTTTGCTGTGGCATTATTCCATTAACAAGCTAAATGGAGTGGCGATCTAGGCGTCCAAGAGGACCTAGCGAGCTAGGACAGTTCGTGGTGGCCGAGGGGAGCTCAAGCAGTCACGTTGAAGGCTTTTCATTCATCCCTTTATTATTTCTTTCATTTATCTTAGTTGGGTTGTATGAAATGAATTAATTTCATGCCGTGTTGCTTGGAATATTTGAACCCAACCATGAACTAGTCTTAATTGGTGGGAGTTCATTATAGATACTTAAGTTTTATTTTAATGGATGATTTTTTTTGTATGTTTTATTTGTTTTCTTTGATACTTAATGCCTTAAGTGTTAGGAGCTATGAGAGTAGTCATTCCTTAAGAGAATGCTTAGTGTTTGAGAGAATGCTTATTGTTCGAGAGAAACTAAGATTGATCCACATAGCAAGGGGTTCTAGTTAGAAACTAGGCCTAATCCAACCTTAGACATAATACTAGGATTTTAATCGACTAAAAGGAGTAGTGCTCGGTCGAGAGGGTAGATACTAGTGTTAATGCTGAATGGTATTGTTGTGACATAATCTATTGATATGAACCAATAGGATTCTGCATTTGCTAACACCGAAAGATATTGCCAAGGCATCTTCAACCTGTCAAGTCTCTTAACTAGAGATAACATAGGGCACCTTTAGTAAACTCTGTCGGGAAAGTAATGCATAGAAGTAAGACCAACCTGAGAAATTAGACTTAAGTTTCCTAAGTGACTTCTGTCATTCATTCCTATAATAGCTTGTTGTGTGAGGAGTCTAGAGTCATTTTAATCAAATATTGTGTTTACATTTCGTTTTGCCTTTACATTTTCAATTGATTTCACTACACTCAATTTACTTTTGCCAAGACATTTTTATCCATTTGCCATAAATATCCATTTGCTGCCACATTACATTACACCATTATTCCATTCCCATCAACTTCCATTTTATTTTGCCACATCATTTCATTTGTACATACCATCACTAACTATACTTAGGTAAAATAGATAATTGCTGTGATTGAACTTATAAATTTCCTCCAATCCCTGTGGAGACGATACTCGCTCATCACTGTATTACTTGTTTGATTGTGTATACTTGTACATATTTCGACTATACTTAGTAGTCACAATTCACGGATAACTTTTTGGCACCGTTACCGGGGATTGGCAATTGGAAGTTAATTATTTTTTCATAGCATTTTTGTTTTACTTTTTTATTTTTTTAGTTTTACTTGTTATTTTCCTTGTTTTTAAAGGTTTTTCTTGGTGTATGACCAGACAACACTTTGAAAAGCCATTAGAATCAAGTGAACCTGAGATTAAGAGGTTGTTTAGGCAAATAAGACGTGCTCAACGTGCAAACATATATCAAATTAGAAATTAAGGTATTGATTATGAGGAAAATCAGAATGTCGAGACTATTCCAAATACTGGGAATGCAGCTAGACCTCGTGCCATTCGAGATCACTTAAATCCTATATTAAACGATTTAAATCCAGGAATTATGGTACCCGAGATTCAGGTAACCCATTTTGAGCTCAAACATATCATGTTCAATATGCTAAATTCCATAGGGCAATTTGGGGGCATGTCAAATAAAGATGTAAGGCAACATATTCGTAACTTCTTGGATGTGTGCGATTCTTTCCGACAACAAGGAGTGTACAAAGATGTATTAAAGTTAAAGCTATTTCCATATTCTTTGCATGACCGAGCAAAGGCTTGGTTGAGTGGTGTTCCAACTGGTTCGATGGAGTCTTGGACTGATTTGTGCAAAAGTTTTTTGCTGCATTATAATCCCGAACATTAGCACCCAACTGAGAACGACATTGCTTTTTTTGTCAAGCTGATAATGAATCAATGTTTGAATGCTTGGATCGGTATAAAAGATGTCTTTGCAAATGTTCAAATCATGGTTTTAAAGATTGGAATCAAGTAGTAATGTTCTATAATAAAGTAAATGTGCCAACAAGGATGATGCTAGATGCCTCGACAAATGGGACATTGCTCGATAAATCACCTGTAGAGGTATAAAACTTTCTGGATTGGATTGTTTCATTCACAGAGGAGAAGAGATAAGACTCGGAGAAAGAGAATTGGGGAAATCAAAGAAAGAGTTAGGGATTTGGAATTGGGGAAATAAAACCATGTACTAAGAAGAGGATTTTTATGAAAGTATTGAATGAACGTTTTTTTCTGAATTCTCTCTTATCTTCTCTATTTTCCCTCGATAATTTTTTATTTCTATTAAGATCATAACAAATTGCCAACAATGATTATCGATTTCCATATACAAGGCTTGGAATTGGGTGAAAATCACATGGGGCATTCGAGTTAGATACTAAGGATTTTGTGTCCGCCCAACTTATTGCTATCACTAATATGTTGAAGAATTAACAAATACCAAGTGAGGTGAAGAAAGTGAAGGCAACAATTCAGCATATTTATTATGCCATGGAAAGCACCATGAGAGCGAGTGTCTGACCAATCAACAATCCATCAATATGTAGGAAACTACAATCGAGGCAACAATAAACCCTATTCTAACACCTATAATCCAAGATGGTGTCAACATCCAAACTTCTTATGGGGAAATAAAGGAACCAAAAATACTAATCAACCCGCTAGGCATCAGAATTTAAATGACTCCCAAGGTTTTCAAACGAATATACCATGGCATAATTCTAACAAAGGAGTACCATCTTCATCCAACACAAGTTCTTTGGAGGCCACAAAGCAAGATTTTATTGCAACCACGAAGATCATGCTGCAAGACCACGTGACCTCCATAAAAATCCAATGAGCTTTACTTCAAAACCACAGCTCATCTCTGAGGGCGTTCGAGAGTCAGGTTGGTCAAATTATCGCGACATTACAAGAATGTCAACTAGGTCATTGTCGAGTGACACTGAAATCACTAAATCTCATGGTAAGGAGCAATACAGTGTACTCACTCTATGAAGTGACACCCGAATCAATGTGCAAGACAAGTTTGGGGGAAGAAAGGCAAATGATTTACCCCTATCATTGTGCCAGCTGAGAATTAAGTGTTGAAGTGATGCAAGTGGAAAAGGTAAGGATGAGGGTTTATCTAGTAAAGCAACTGAGGGGAAAAACAAAAATGCCACGACAAATGTTGTTTTTATCCCTTCATTAGAGAAAGTCAGACCCCACTTATTTCCCACAAAGATTGAAGAAGCATAATAATGACATTCAATTCAAGAAGTTTGTCTACATTCTGGACCAACTCCGCATCAATGTTCATTTTCTTGAAGCTATAGAACAAATGCCGACATATGCAAATTGCTCGAAGAGATTGTTACCAAGAATAGAAAAGTTGAGAAATACGAGACCATTGCCACGGCAAAAGCATACTGCTCTACCTTAAGCAAGTTGCCGCCAAAAGGACAAGATCCAAGCAGGTTTATCATTCCATGTTCGATAGGAGAAAATTATGTTATGAAGGCACTACGTGACCTTGGCTCAATTGTGAATTTAATGCCTAAGTCAATCCTCATGAAGCTTGGAATATAAAATGCAAGACCCACATCTGTTATCTTGCAACTAGCCGACTACTCCCATGTTCGTCCCGAGGGGCGATTCGAGGATGTCATTGTAAAGGTGGACAAATTTGTGTTTCCAGTAGACTTCCTTATATTAGATTGTGAGGTTGATGCCACATCACCAATTATTTTGGGGAGATCGTTCCTAGCTACTGGGCATATTCTTATTGACTGTGAAAAGGTTGAACTCACTATAAGAGTGGCCGACAATGTGTCACAATTAATGTTTTATGAACTCTCAAGTACATGGATGAATCTGAAGAATGTCAGAGTATTTTCGAAGTGGATTTACTGATAGCAGGAGACACTGATCAATTTTTCCATGACAATATCATTCAGCTGGAGAATTATTAGAGGCTTATTGAAGAAGAAAGTGTCGATGAGCCCCATGACTTTTCTTAGGAGGTGCATCAGGCTAGCTTTCTATAGCTAGCACAGGTACACGCTTTGAACCTCTTGATTTCGATGAGTTTGTTCTCCTAATCCCTCATTACAGCATGCAACTACCCTAGAGTTAAAGAATTTTCCACAACATCTTAAATATGCTTACCTGGGTAGTAATGAAACTTTACTTTTTATTATTTCCTCTGACTTTACTCATAGCCAAGAATGTAGCTTGTTAAGTGTTTTGTTACAACACAAGAAAGCGTTAGGATAGACTATGTCATATCTGAAGAGAATAAGTCCCACCATTTGCACACAAGATCTTGTTGGATGAATGCCGTGGCAAATATATAGAGCCACAAATAAGATTAAACCCAATCATGAAGAAAGTCATGATGAAAGTCATGATGAAGAAATTATCAAATGGTTTGATAATGGAGTTATTTACCCCATATCTAATAGTTCATGGGTGAGTCCCGTCTAATGTGTGCCAAAGAAGGGAGTCATAATCATCGTGACAAGTGAGGACAATGAGTTGTTACCAATACGCACTATCACCGGGTGGTGAATATGCATGGACTATCGCAAGCTAAAAAGGCCACCAAGAAGGACCACTTCCCTTTGCCCTTCATCAATCAAATACTGGATCGATTGGCTAGAAAGGCATTTTACTGCTTCTTGGACGGATACTTGGGGTATAATCAAATTATCATTGCACTAGATGACCATGAGAAGACTACTTTCACGTGTCCCTATGGAACTTATGCTTTTCGGAGGATGCCTTTTGGACTTTGTAATGACTCGATAACTTTTCAGTGCTGCTTGCAAGCTATCTTTTCTGGCATGGTTGAGGACTTCCTAGAAATCTTTATGGATGACTTCTCTGTTTCTGGAGATAACTTTGAGAAATACCTCAACAATATGGAAAATGTACTCAAACGATGTGAGGAGGCCGATCAGAAGACATTATGCTAGGCCATAAGATCTCTCATAAGGGTATTGAAGTGGATAAATCCAAAATCGAGGTGATCAATAAGCTACCCCCACCAACTTTTTTCAAGGGCATTAGGAGTTTCCTTGGACATGGTTGGTTCTATAGAAGATTCATCAAGGACTTCTCATGATATCCAAGCCCTTATGCACACTGCTTCAACAAAATCAACCTTTCGTGTTCGATAAAAATTGTCACGACGTATTCACTGAGCTAAAACAAAGACTTATCTATGCACCTATCGTGGTTCTCCCTGATTAGATGTCACCATTTGAGCTAATGTGTGATAGATGCCAGTGCACTGGGAACATTTCCAGGTGATATGAAATGCCATTGCAAAACATTATGGAGATCGAGCTCTTTGATGTTTGGGGCATTGACTTTGTGGGATCATTCCCATATTCTTTTGGAGACTTGTACATTTGCTAGCTGTAGACTATGTATCTAAGTGGGTTGAAGCAATTAAAACACCAAGGAATGACTCTAAAACCATGCTCAAGTTCCTTCACAAGAACATCTTCACGATTTGGAGCACCTAGAGCCATCATCATTGACGAAGGAACTTGTTTTGATAACAAGATAATTGCCAAGGAATGAGATATGGAGTACGTCACAAAATTTCCACGGGATATCACCCATAAACCAATGAGCAAGCTGAAGTGTCTAAACGGGAGATTAAGCAAATCCTGAGAAATTAGTGAATCCTAGAAGGAATGACTGGTCCCCGAAGCTTGACGAAGCATTCTAGGCTTATCGAACGACATTCGAAATGCCTTTAGAAATGCCACTGTTCTAGATGGTATATGGCAAAGCATGCCACCTACATGTGGAGTTAGAGCATAAGACATATTGGGTTGTCAAAAAGCTTAACTTTGATGCGCAACTGGTTGGGAGCAACCATTACTCGATCTGAACAAAATAGAAGAATTTAGAGAACAAGAATATGAAAACACCAAGCTTTACAAGGAAAAAACCAAGAGTGGCATGATAAAATTCTTCTGCCAAGGCATTTTCATATTGTCTAGTAGGTGCTCCTCTTCAACTTGAGGCTGAAGCAATTTCCGACAAACTAAAGTCACGAGGGTCCGGAGCCTTTGAAGTACATTCTGTTGATATCAAGAAGATAGATGATGAGACCATTTTCAAAGTTAACAGTTAGTGTCTGAAGGCTTATCAAGGAGCTCCGCCCTCACGTGATAAATCAACACTCATCTCGTAAGATGTCTGAATCTGCAGAGCATTTTGAAGATGCCATGCCATTTTAGATTTACTCATGTGCATAAATAAATGTTTAATTTTTTACTTTATATTCATTTATTTTTCGATAAATTAATATATTTTAAATTTTTTAGGGACCTACACAACAAGCATATGATGACCGTATGACATAAGAGTGGGTGGCACCATGGAAAAATAGGAGGGAAAATTTTACTTTTAACTTTTTGAATTTCTTAGGGTTTACTTTTTCATTTAATGCTTTTGTCTTTTCCCCAACCCACAACCTATCCATCTGTTACATAACCCCTACCTTTTATCTTATTTTTATCTTTTTACTCTTTCACTTCATCTTCATCTTATCTTATTCTTTTCTCATTCAAACTGCACGCCATAGTTGAAAAGGTTCAAGCTTTTTCATATTTTATTTGTTTTGTTAACCAAACCATGGTGCGCTCACGTCCTTCAAGTATGACTCCATAATCTCTACCGTGTTTCATCGATGAAATGGTGCAAGAACAATTTTAAGCGCTTAAAACCATCGGGTTTTCTTTGAGTTAGCTTTCATCTTTTTCGTCACTGAAGATACTGACTTTGGAGGCGATTTCATGGACGTTGTTCACCAACATAAGTGGTAAAACTTTGCTGGGCATCCGGAGAACGTGAATTCCTCCCCTGTGAATGAGTTTTATGCCAACTTATCCTACCCAAATCAACATGTCGTGGTGGTTTGTGGTATTTCTATTTCTTTACCCCTTTCGGCTATTAATTCTTTACTTTAACTTGCATAATATTGTTGATAGTCATACCACATTTGTAAGGGAGGCTATTAATCGTTACCATGGCATATTGGAGGACATCTATTTTTCAAACACAAAGTGGAATGGGCAACAAGCCGGTCAACGATCCATGGATCGCAAGAGGCTACAACCGAGGGCTAAGTTGTGGAATCAATTTATGAAGCACGAGCTTCTCCCCACTGCCTACAACACCACAATATCTCTATAGAGGATGCTTCTGCTGCACTCTATTTTGGTGGGGGTGCTCTATTGACATAAAGAAGATAATCGTGCAATAAGTTCATACTTGTTTGAAGAGGTCCTTCAGTGCCTTGGTATTTCTAAACTTCATTACGGTACTCTGTCGTAAGAAGAATGTGCCAGAGGAACAATTTAACGAAATATTGTATGGGTTTTCTGGGATTACAAAGGTCAAGCTACCTATGTTGCTTTGATTCAAGGAAACCAATGTCAATGAAAAGAGGAGAGCACCTCCCACACTGATGCAAACCACGATGCCATGGCAAACCTAGATGCTCTATAGGATGCCGCTAAGAACCCAAGATCACGTGGACCAGGTGACCAACAATCTGACGACCTTCTTTGCCTATGTCAATCACCGGGATGAGTTTGTGGTGAATACTTTCATGGACAACCTCCCAAATGTTAATCTTGATATCCCAGTCTTCAATGTTACACACTTGAGTCCTTCTACGGATGTCGCGACATCAAAAGATGGGCCTCAGCCTACTGATGATGAGGAGCCAACAGATACTGATC